TGCGCTATCAAAATGATTTGATTTCTCATGGGAACTAATGGCCCACGGCTATGACTAAGATTTCTATTTCTTCGCGTTTCTTTCCCTTCTTTTTTTGTGGCGACATGTTATTTTGAGTCAACGGCCATTCTTCTCATGGAAAGTTGGACGATCGAAAGGGAAACTTGCTCTTTTGAATATGGCTGCATAGGGTTTGGTGCCGTAGTGGTCCATACTACAATAACCGAGAATAATTATGCAGTGTTTGGTTTGCCTTATTGGAAAATCTCCCTCTCTCTGATATTATGTAAAAGTATTTTAATAGGTAGATAAATTAAAATATTTTTATATAATTTTTATATAAAATTAAATAAATAAAATTATATGTTGTAAAAAATTTTAGAATATGAATAAAAAAAAGGTCAACCCAACAAAACATATATTCAATGATGTGAAATGTAGATGTCAATGATTTTCCTGCAATGTCTCTATCTTTCCTCTGTTTAGAAAGTTGGTTGGATTTTAAGAAAATTAGCTGTGGGTCAAGCTTGAAAATCTGACGAACAGGAATCAATAAGTTAAAGCACCGTTAATCAAGGACTTCAGTCTCTGGCTTTATTTCGGTTATTTTATTGTGGTTGTAATAAGTTTTAATTTTTTATTTATTTAAAAAATATATAAAATATATAAAAAAGTACAAATAGTTTTGAATCTTAAAATAAATTAAAATCTTAACTTTAAATTTTATTGTTTTATTTAATTAAAATTTAACTTAAAATTTAAAAATTTATCTTATTAAATATTGATATTTAAATTTAAAAATTAATTATATTAAAATTTGTAATCAGTTTCTAAATTTATATATTAAAATTTAATAAGATGAATTTTTTAATTTTAAATTTAAATCTCAATTTTTAAATATATATTGGGACTCTAATTACTTTTTAAAATCAAACTTGACATGTACTAACCTCAAAATATATTTAATATTCATTTCAAGAAAATAGTGTACATTTTTCTTAATTTCACATAGTCTAAGTGCAAAAATTTTACTTTTAGTGAATATTTAAAAATTAATTGTTGAATTTAATATTATATTCATATAGATCTCGTGAATATTAATTCTTAGATTGATTAAATGTATTTAATTATTTTATTGATTATATACAAATTTAACACCATTAAATAAGATGTGAAATTTAATGTCCCAATAAGAAAAATGTGAAAGAATAATTATGAACATAATTCAATACTTTAATAATTGATTTATATTTATATATATCTATGTAAAAATAGTACTCCCAGTAAATTTAGTAGTTTTAATTTGAATTTTT